GGGTTTTGGGTTTGGGGGTTAAGGGTGTAGGTTAGGGTTTAGGGTGTTGGGCGCTGAAATGATACACCAAAAGCCAGACAAGAAACGGAACAAGATGACCCTCCCTGGCTGGCTGGTTCTCTCTGGGATTTTCCCAAGATTGAGTTTGCTTTTCGGGGGTCCTCATATGAAGGATTATAGTCTTTTGGGGTCTAGATTGGGGTCCCCCTATTTATCTCTGCTACAACATCTACTGTCGCTCACTGCCACTTTGTGCGCCTGGGGTTTCTCCGCCATCCCTGGAGAAAGGGGCCCAGGACCTCCAGGGAGAATTGGGCTTTTAGGTTTTCAGAATTTGCCGGCTCAACTGTAGGGAATCTGAATCTATAGATCACGCCTACTGTGGGCTCTGAAGTCTACAGATCATACTAATGTTGGGCTTTTAAGGTTATGTGGAGGGAAAGACCACGAGTTGTAAGCGTTCATGGTGCTCAGTGCAGTGATCACTGATGTTTCCTGCACATTGCAGTGATCAATTTCCACCTCCTCTTAACGTGCCCCTCTCCTCCTCCTCCTCCTCCTCATCATCATCATCACAACCATCATTATGATCAATGCTAGTACGTGTGAGGCGCCCCACAAACCCCTGAACTTGAGGACTTACACTTCGGAGCTTCGGAGCCTTAACTAAATCGAAAAAACTTGCACCCGTAAAAGACAACAAAGCTGGAACACGGATATCAGTGGATTTGTCTTACTTTGTCCTCTTTCATTAGGGTAGGGGGATAATGATTTCCAACTTTCTGGCTCGTCCCCCTTGAAAGAGGTGTATAGGGGAGGTCTATTGAGGTTACAGAGCGATTATAAAGGAGTGATATAAGGCTTGTGTGGGGTTTCATCGACTTCCATGGACTTTGGAGAAGCCCTCGTATGCACAGATGTAAGGGGACCCCACTTTCGGGAGAGCGGTTAAACCCTAAACCCCAGATCCCAAAGCCCTAAACCCTAGAAATCTAAGCTCCTGCTGGAGCTCGCCCACGCTGGCTCCAGGCGGCAAGGTCCCCAGCGCAAGGAGCTCCGGAAGTTCAGAAGGCCTTTGGCCTCAGCTGCTGGGCTGTAAATTTAGGGTTTAGGGTTTAGGGATTTGGGTTTAAGGATTAGCGGTTTGGGTTTAGGGATTAGGGATCATAACAGAATGGGTAAAGATATGGAGGGTTAGGTCGTCGTGGCTAGGGGGTACTGGAAGCATGTAGCGTGGACAACTGCCTCGCAAAGACGGCCAGCCTGTATGAACTGCATGCATGGGGAGGAACACCGGAGGCCGTGAAGTGTTCACGTTTGAAGCTCGCATGCCTTGCAGTTTAAAGGGATATAAGGGGTGGTATGTAAATAGATGTCTTGTGTAAGGATTACATACCTAATTATGGCCCTAAACCCTACACCCTAAAAACTGAAAGGTCGAATAACGTCCGGCCTTGAGGCCTGCGTCTAGATTTGTTCAAGGAACTCGGCAGAGTTCCACGATTTGCGAAAACGAGCAGGCCAAATGATTTGGGTGTTTCCCAAAGTTCAGGGTACCCTTTTGGGGGTCCCCATAATGAGGATTATAATAGATTAGGGTCTATATTGGGGTC